CTCGACCTCCGAGTATCCAGTAGCTACTTCTGAGCTGCCTGAGGGTGAGCTGTGTGCCTCCGTGGAGTGTCCTTAGATGAGCCTGTCCGATGAGTAGCTGAGCCAGTTGAGATTCCTTCGGAATAATCACTTGGTTCCGGCTCTCCGGGCCAATGTGAGCAAACTTGAGCCGTCCTCTCATCCTCAATACCCCTTAGCGATCGATGAAGGGTGTGAGCTTGGTGAGGGGGTGGGATTTGCTGAACCTTTCCCCTCGTGAGATCGCTCTGAGTTGATCCTTGAAGTGAGCTGCCTGCGTGAGTTTGATCCAGAGGATGCGAGCCTCTTCAAGATCACCAAGAGTGAGCGGGTATCGAAGAGAAGAGTTGGGGGTTTTCCTGAGCCGAGCTATGAATCGTCGACAGATTGCTGTGACCCTGAGCAGTCGGTTGAACGATGAGAATCTGTCGACGAGATTCCAGAGCGCGATTGGATGAGCTTTTACATGTAGGAGAACTCCTGGCTTTTCCTCGAGGTCTGCGCTGAGGTCTTTTTCCAGAGCGTGAGTTGGCCATGATGAGCAGTCTTGATGAAGCCATGGTGGCCCTTTCCACCAGAGCTTATGAGATACCAGTTGGTGCGCTGATAGACCTCGAGATGCACAGTCTGCAGGATTCTCCTTGCCCGGTACCAATCTCCAATGAGCCTGCTGAGTGAGCTCCTGGATGAGTGCCACCCGATTTTTCACGAACTCCTTCCATCTTGAGGAGTGTGAGCTGATCCACGTGAGCGTGACCGATGAGTCGGTCCAGAGATAGGTTGTGGCGTTCCTGAGATTGAGTTGGTCCTTGACGTACTTAGTCAGTTTGGCCAGGAGGAGAGCCGCAGTGAGTTCTAGTCGTGGGATTGTCAGCCGTTTGAGCGGTGCGACCTTCGTTTTTGAGCAAACCAATGTGAGTTCTGATTTTCCCTTGTTGAGAACCTTGAGATAGATCACGGCTGACATCGCCACTTGTGATGCGTCGAAAAAACCGTGTACTTCGACGACGGAATCCGTGAGCAGTCCAAGCCACCGAGGTATGGTGATCTCTGATAACTGTGTGAGCTCCTCCCTAAATTGGCTCCATCGTTGAGCAGTTGTCTGGGAAACTGGTTCGTCCCATCCCAGTTTCTCGATCCATAGAGCCTGGAGCAATATCTTCGCTCGTATGACCACTGGCGCTAGGAAACCCAGTGGATCGAAGAGTTGAGCCGTTTCCGATAAAATGATTCTCTTCGTTATTGAGCTGGTCTCAGGCTGAGTGACGGAGAACTTGAAGTTGTCCGTTCCAGGATGCCAAGAAACCCCTAGAATCTTGGTGAGCGAGTCCTCTATGAATCGTTGTTCTTGAGAGGTGCTGTCAGGTTGAAGAGATGTGAGTAGAGCTGGGCTATTTGAGTGCCATTTGGCTAGCGGAAAGCCTCCTGACCGACAGAGCTGTGTCACCTGATGAGCGGTCCTGAGTAGCTCTTCCTCCGAGTCAGCACCCTCGCAGATATCGTCAACATATCGTCCTTTCATGAGCGGTTCCACAGCGAGAGGATAGTTCGATCCTTCATCCTCAACGAGCTGATGAAGAACACGCATTGAGAGGAACGGAGCTGACCTAGTGCCATATGTGACCGTGGTGAGTTGATAGGTGGCGATATCTCCGTTTGAGTCGGTCCAGAGTATTTGTTGGAGTGGCCAATCTTCCGGATGTACCCGAATTTGACGAAACATCTTGGTTATGTCCGTCATGAAAATGAGCCGTTTCCGCCGAGAAAAGAGAAGTACATCCGAGATATCCTTCTGCAACTTCTCACCCGTGTGCATAATCTCGTTCAACGATTGTCCTGAGCTGGTCTTGTTGGAGCCGTTGAAAACAACTCTGAGCTTCGTTGTCTCACTGCTCGCCCTGAGAACTCCGTGATGAGGGAAGAAATATTCCGGAGGAGCGTCAGCCCGAGAAGAACACGGACGGCCCGAAACCCTCAACCCTCCTGAAGCCGAGGCCTCATGTGCTAAGGTCATTTCG